AGGAAATTTACTGAATTTTAATGTTGATTTTTGTATCCTACTTTGTCAAAAGTGTTTTGCAGATCTAAGAATTTTACAGCGGGTTTTTTGGGTCCTTTTGGGGGGGGGTCCAGTGGTGGGGCCTGAACTCTGGGCCTGGGCGCTGTCCCTCAGCTCTTCACCTCAAAGCTAGCGCTCTACCACTTGAGCCACAGAGCCACTTCCATCTTTTTTCCTCCTTACTTATGTGGTGCTGAGGAATCTAACCCAGGACCTCATGCATTCAAGGCAAGTGCTCTACCACTGAGCCACATTCCCAGCCCCTTTTGGGTCCTTTTAAGTATAAGATCATATCCTCTACAAATAAGAGAAATTTTGACTTCTTTTTTTCTATTCATATCCCATCTATTTCTTTTCCTTGTCTTATTGCTCTTGCTAAGAATTCTAGTCCCATATTGTTTAGAAATGGGGAGAGCATGCATCCTTGTCTTGCAAAGGGAAAGAATTACAGAATAAAATGGAAACTAACAGAACAGGAGAAAACCTTGCCCAAATAAAGGATTAATATCCAGATAAAGGATTAATATAAAATAAAAGATTAACATCCAGAATATATAAAAATCTCCAGAAGAATAATTTATCCAACTAAAAACTGGGGAAATAAATTAAGCACACAATTACCAGGAGAAGAAGTACAAATGGCTAATAAGTATATGAAAAAAATATTCAACATCTCTAGTTATAAGAGATATGAAAATTAAAAAAAGAGAAATGAAAATAAAAACATCCTTCAGATTCCATCTTACTCCTAGCAGAATGACTATTATCAAGAGGAAACATTTTTTAAAATGCTGGAAAGAATGTAGAAGGTAGGGATGCAGTAGTTCAGCCATGATAGAAATCAGTATGGGGGTTCATAAAACACCAGATAGGATATGTTGGAAATGATCTGTACAACTTGGAGAGGGGATTATGGGAAGGGAAAGAGGGAGAAAAATGAGGGAGGGGTAACAAGTTAGACAAGAAATGTACTCACTACCTTACTTATGTAACTGCAACCCCTCTGTACATTGCCTTGACAATAAAATAAAAAAACTAGATAGAGACATTGTCCAAAAAGAAGTGTATTCATTGCCTGCTCATGAAATGATATTCCATCTGTACAATGCTGTAATAATAACAATAAAATTATATTTTAAAAAACTAGATAGAAACAAGTCTAGCATATTGTTTAATACAATGCATCATCTATTCAGCCTTTTTATGTTTAATAATTAACAAACCTAAGACAGGGCTGTACTTTTACTGTACTCTTTTTATTTTTTCCATATATTTTCAAGTCCCTTTGAAACCATCCTAAAAACCACTTTCAGGTTGAGTCAGGCATTCTCCGTTTCCTATGATTTTAATCCCAATATTTGTTCACATAAATTTCTAATTGTTATTTTAAACTATCTTGTTGTTATTTTGGTAATTAACACCATAATTATTTTGATAATAACACCATAGATCTACCTAATCTTTGCATAAAATCTAATGCATTGTATTAAACAATATGCTAGACTTGTTTCACACCACTTAGCTCAAACAGTTGGTGGGATAGTCATCAATTTTCATGTAACCCATTAATGCTTTGCTTTTTTAAAAAATTGATTATGTGCTTAAATAAACAAAGAATCTATGTCACAATCACACACTGTATAAAAATGTTAATTTGGGGCTGGGAAGGTGTCTCAGTGGTAGAGCGCTTGCCTTGCATGCCTGAGGCCCTGGGTTTGATTCCTCAGCACCACATAAGCAAAAAGAAAAAAGCTGGAAGTGGCGCTGTGGCTCAAGTGGTAGAGCACTAGCCTTGAGCAGAAGAGCTGAGGGACAGCACCCAGACCCAGAGTTTAGGCCCCACGACCCGACCCAAAAAAAAAAAAAAGTTAATTCTCCTCAATAAAGAGACACTCAGATGCAAAAAACAAAAACAAAAACAAAAAACAAACAAACAAAAAAAACTAGATAGAACCATCATTTGATCCTTCTGTACCACTCCTGGGCATATTTCTGAAGGAATGTAAGTTGGCATACAGCCAAGATGCCTGTACAACCATGTTTGTAGAAGCACTGCTCACAACAGCCAAAATATAGAATCAGCCCATGTGCACGTGTGTGCGCGCACGCGCGTGCGCACACACACACACACACACACACACACAAGTGAAGTATTGTCTGGCCAGAAATAAAAAAATAAAAATATATTGTTTGCTAAAAAACTGGTAGAACTAGAGATAAATTAATCAAAATAAATCAGACTGAAAACGTTGCACCTTACATATTCTTCGCATATCTGGAATATTGTCCTTAAATGAATGACAGAAATATAAAACAGGTTCCATTTGAGGGTGAAGGACAAAGGGCAGGGTGAAGGAAGATGAATATATTTGAAGTGCCTTATAGATATATATGAAAATGGAACAATTGAACATGTTGAAATTATTTTAAGAAGGGAAGAAATCGGGGCTGGGAAGGTGGCTCAGTGGTAGAGCGCTTGCCTTGCATGCCTGAGGCCCTGGGTTCGATTCCTCAAGCACCACATAAGCAAAAAGAAAAAAAGCCGGAAGTGGCGCTGTGGCTCAAGCGCTAAAGCGCTAGCCTTGAGCTGAAGAGCTGAGGGACAGCGCCCAGGCCCAGAGTTCAGGCCCCACGACCGGACCCAAAAAAAAAAAAAAAAAAAGAAGGGGGAAATGAAGGTAAATGGTAGAGAAGGTAAATTTGATTGAGGGTACATTGTAGACATTAGTTGTGCTCATTTGTGCAGCTGATATATGCTAATAAAAGGCAAGAAAGAAAATAGTATTTTGTATTTATGGGCCCTGAAGATCAAGTCTTACTGCGTAGATAAGGAGGACTTCACGCATCATGATTAGCTCAGTCCCACACATTCAGGTTGAAACAAAAACTCTGGCTGTCTTCCTGAAACTTTATTATGAGCAGGGCCAAAATTTAAGATCTGATTCAAATGACCCAGCTGTCACTGGTGACTAATTCAGGGCCTATCATTTTCCTTTAAAGTATGGTTAGTTGAGCTTTAAGGAAAACTGTAGAGAGGAAGGGCAACACTATTGACATGTACGACAGTTAAATAGATATATTAAAAGTTTTAATTTTTAATTAAAATAGAAATAAAAATAGAAAGTTATGCAACCATAGTACATAATTATGCAGTTACTTTACATCCGAAGTTATGTGTTGGTCTCAGTAGTGAAAGAGAAGAACGTTTCTATTGATGCAACAGAAACACCAAATGTGATAAATTTAGAGAAGATTTGAGTTAGTAATACTACAAGGTATCTTTGTAGAATAAAATGCTAAATCACTGATAAAATGTATCTAAATGTTATTATTGAATATTTTTTAAATTTAACGTTTTAACATTAACCTACTTGAAACTTGCATATGCACACATTCAGTTCTTGCAACCAACTTTTGTATTGGAATTGGATATAGCTTACTCATACCACTTAGTTGCACAGGTAATAGAAGTAGAAAACATTTCGCTCTAGACAGTGTAGCACACTGCATCCCAGTACATTCTATGGGCAGAAACACCTAAACACTGCAGACTTTCTGATCACACAGTTGGCAAGTTTGAACTAAGGACCTTAAGGGCACTAGCTTTACTGTGTTCGCTTGCATTTTCCCCGACTGCCTTGGTTCCTGATTCCACGTTGCTATTGTGTGGGTCAAATAATCCCTGGTCACAAAAATACCCCAGGGAATGACGGGAGTGGCTCTCCTGGCGTCCAGGTTATGAGTGTGGTCAGTCATTGCACATGCCTGAGGGATGAGCTATCTTTGCCGTGGTAGGTTTTATAATAGCCAAACGCAAAATAAATTTAAAGGTTACACACAAAGGTAGACATAAGTAAGAAAGTGTCATCTATAGAAGGCATATTCAAGACAACACTGAGATTCGTTTTATCTTTCTTGTCTCTAAAAAACCTATTCTGGACTAACCACAAATTTTCGAATTGCTCTCGGAGTTGTGAATATCTCCTCCCTTGTTGTCTTAGCAGTTAGTTTAAACTGTACTTTTGTCGTGCACATGCTAGATTTGCACATGTTGGATTTGTGTTATGAAACCATTGGGGAGGGGAGAAAACTTTCTAAAATGAGTTTGTAAACGTATTCCTCTTTCATCTTTCCCAGTCTCTCCTTCTAGTTCACTCGTTTGGAGAGTGAAGCCTTACGTTTGGGGCATTGTCACTTATCTTGTGGCCTTCCACTGCCCCCGGGTACCTGGAGCAAGACTAAGCTAGCCCAGCGAGCTGCTCCGTGTGCAACGGGGTGCAGAAATCGTCCAGATTTCGAGCCAGCCCCAGGCATCTCGCAGGACGAGGTCCCCGCCTGGCTGGCGACGCCTGCACGGGCGGATGCCCAGCGAGGCCGCTCTGTGGAGGATCGCGGAGCTGGACAGCCTGCCTTCCCAGACGTTTTCTTCCCATCCTTTGCCCCTAGGATTTTCTAAGGGCTTTTTTCCCCCCAAAGAGGACAGAGCAGGGGTCATCCCGATGTGTTCTCTCCAGCCCGAGGAACCGGATCGCTGCGGAGAAATAAACTCATCAGAGCGCGCACAGACCAGCGGTGGTAAAATCAATTTCTAAACGAAGCTGTCAGGATTGCGAGCTGCACATTTCAGTGGGTGGCTACACCCAGCTACAGCATTGCATCCCCGCTCAGTCTCCCCGGGGACCCCCCAGAATGTGGATGCAGGGAAAGCACAGAGAGAGGGAGGAAGGCAGGGAGAGAAGTAGCCAGCAGCTCGCGCCAGCCAGCACCTCGCACTGCTGGAAAGCCCTCTGGCGTTAGCAGGGAGGGAGGGAGAGATGCAGGGTTGGAGCCAGGGTTCCGGGGGAGAAGTTGGGGGGGGGGGTGGCCCTCTGCCACGCCACCCCTCACCTCGACAGCTGTCCAGCTCTTGTAATTCATTGGCTTTCCCCACTCTGCCCCCCCCCCCATCCCGTGCAGTTTAGGCCCCCTGCCCCACCCTCTCTAACCTAATAAGGCCATGCCGTGCGCTGGAGACTCGTATAAAAAGCGAAGTCTTCGCAGGGACTCTGCAGGACGCCGGAGAGAGGAGACCGGAGCCGTCCAGCGCCCGCAGAGAAAAACAGCATGGCCAAAGAGTGGGGGTACGCCAGCCACAATGGTGAGTGCGGCAGGCACGGAGGCCTGGGTCCCGGACACTGCTGGAGGGGCCCTGAGATTGCTCAGAAAGGGGGATACTCCAGGGAGTACCCGGCGGCGTCGGAGTGGGTCAGAATTAATATCCACTGAGCTTTTCAGGTGCTGACACTTGGTCCCCACTCCTAGATTCTTAGTATTTTCCTTGCAGGAAGCTCAGGGAAGCTCAGGAACTGGCTTTAGAAACCTCGCCTCACCTGAGATGGAAGACAGTTAGGTGGCTGATTGCACCTCAGTTTGTGAGGTAGACAACTGCATCACCTCTCCCCTACCTGGCCTGTGGCTTCTACCAAACTCATGGTAAAGGGAATACAGGTTGCCCTGAAAATGATAGCCACAAAGTAATGCAAAAACATCTGTGGCCAATAAAGTCCATTTCCCAAATGAGCCTTTTAGGCCACATTTCTGAGCCAGCAGGAAGAATACATGGAGTTAAATATAATCTCTGGGTGCACTGTGAAAAAAAAAAAGATGCATTGGTCTTAAATGCTGCCTTGTATTGCCCAATCTGAACCCTAAACCCTTTCATAATCACTGTCTGACCTCTGTGTATTTTGCTGGTTTAATCAATTAGAAAAGGGTCGTGAGTTGTACTGCTAAGTATATCCCCTTAACTCTCTTTCTAGGTCCTGACCACTGGCATGAACTTTACCCCATTGCCAAGGGAGACAACCAGTCACCCATCGAGCTGCATACTAAAGACATCAAGCATGACCCTTCTCTGCAGCCGTGGTCAGCATCTTATGATCCTGGCTCTGCCAAGACCATCCTGAACAATGGGAAGACATGCAGAGTGGTGTTTGATGATACCTACGATAGGTCAAGTAAGTACAGTACTTAGGTAGAGGTACACGGACACTTCCAAGGTTTGTATTGGCAAAACAGTTTATGACAAAGGCATAAAATCAGTGGGCAGAGGGAGTGCTTCATCCTTGAAAATGGAGATGACACTCAAATGGGCTTTTAGTTAAGGAACTATATGCATTGAAGAGGAATGTTTTGCATGCTAACTTTCATCACTTGGTTGCTGCAAATGGCCCCAGGCCCAAACTACACATTGGTAACGCACTCCTGAAATGGACAGTGGTGGCAATGATCATCTACATTAGCATTCTTTAGACACTCCTGGCTTGTAGCTGAGAGTTGTGGTGCTTCTTGACCATGGTCTGGAAAGAAAGGCTCTACTGGAAAGTCCCTCAGATTCCATTCTACAAAGCAAGAAATCAAATAGGCCCTCTCCCCCCTCTCCTCCTGCATCCCAGTACCTGGGAGGAAGCCAATCCAGGGGAGAGAATAGGCCGTTGTTTGGGTCATGATGACTTGGTTCAGTGTTTTCATGGGCTTCATCTGAATAATCTCTTCTGATGAGAGTTTCTAAAGCCTCTACTTCTTGGTAGTACTTGTGGATAGGAAACTGGAAAAGTCACATGATTTAAAAAGTTCAACATATGCTAAGAAATCAGTGAAATCAATAAAGGTGATTAACAATGCTTTATTCCACTGTGAGTTTATAATCTTCCTTTAATAATTTGATGTAACTGCACAATAACTGTTTCTGAAAACCATATTTTTAACAAAGTTGAAATTACTCCTGTTGACATAGTATATAAAGGAAAGTTTTAGTGGTACTCTAACCAAGAATGATAAAGTCATATTTCCTTCCTATTAGAGGGCTCCAAGCAAAGAATAAGAAGATTGCATCTTCTTAGTAATTTCATGTTGCTGTCTTTCCCCTACCCCCTTTACCACTGAAATCAAGCTCCATTTTGAAGAGAAAACAACATTAGGAAGCAGTTATTAGGTTGCATCACATGAAAACACCATTTTTGTAAGCAAAAAAGTCAAATATTAGTGTTTCATGGTTTATTCCAATAAATTGGACTCCAATATTCAGATGAGAACTATTCAAATGATTAGATTAGAAAAGTACAAATCAAACCACTTTCTCCCTTATGACCAAGCTCCTACAGGTCTAGCATTATTACTTTAGAACTGATCATGGTCCCCTGCTACCCTTTGATTGTCATTTTGGCCTAGTTTTTATTGCTAAATTTTGATATTAGGGCTCCTACACAGTCTTCAATATTTCTTTTTTTTTCTTGGTTGGTCATGGGGCTTGAACTCTGGGCTTGGGCGCTGTCCCTGCACTCTTCAGTTCAAGGCAAGTGCTCTACCGCTTGAGCCACAGTGCCACTTCTGGTTTTCTAGTAGTTTATTGGAGATAAGAGTCTCATGGACTTTCCTGCCCGGGCTGGCTTTGAACCACAATCCTCAGATCTCAGCCTCCTAAGTAGCTAGGATTATAGGTGTGAGCCACCGGTTCCCACCTCTTCAATATTTCTAGAAGTTATCTGCGGCTTCAAATGACTCCCTTAGGCTAGATGAATTGAGACCAAATTAAGTGACAGTTTGAAATGTCTATGCAGGGAGCCAGGTTCATGTTACCAAGAATTATCAAGTTTACCAGCAGTCTACATTGGTTAATTTCCAGGAAATTTTCTGAGTTTTTCCATTTCTAATTATTTGAGAGACACCATGTAAGTTAGATGTGGATGAAAGTTCTTTTCTGTCATCTTAAGAAAAGTGTAATCACAGCAAGACAGGCAAAGGAATTTCCTTTTGCACAGTGTTTACTATGCCGGCTTGGTAAACTTGCTAAGGTATGTAATCTTAGTTAATCTTCACAGCAGCTCTGAAAGTGTGGAATTATTATCACCTTCTTAGAGATGCAAAAATGGGTTCAGAAAAGTTTAGCAACTTGCTTGAGATCACACAACTATCAAAGATGGAGCCACGAATGGAGTCTCAATCAATCTAGTCTGGCTCAACTGCCCAGATCTGCCCACCACATACCATTACTGACCTGGTCTTTGGCCATATGCACCCTGCTTATCTCTCAATTTATTTATTTATTTATTTATTCAGTCATGGGGCCTGAACTCTGGGCCTGGGCGCTGCCCCTCAGCTCTTCAGCTCAAGGCTAGTGCTCTACCACTTGAGCCACAGCGCCACTTCCAGCCCTTTTTGCTTATGTGGTGCTAAGGAATCAAATCCAGGGCCTCATGCATGCAAGGCAAGTGCTCTACCACTAAGCACCTTCCCAGCCCCTAACCTCACAATTTTAATTTTACAAGTGTTAGACAAGACTTTCTATTGTGAGAAGGAGTGCTTGGGAATGACTCTATGTGCCAGACAAACTACTTGTCCCACTCAAGTTTATTCTTTAAAAGCACTTGGGTAGCACAGGGCTCTGTAAAAGCTATGTGAACTCACTGTTGACCCTCTTATCTGACTTGTAGTGCTGCGAGGTGGTCCTCTCTCGGGACCATACAGACTTCGCCAGTTTCATCTTCACTGGGGCTCCTCAGATGATCATGGCTCTGAGCACACAGTGGACGGAGTAAAGTATGCAGCAGAGGTAGGAGAAACTGCCCTAATCGATTCTAGGTCTTGCCCAGTGAAAACTGACAAATTAGGAACAATATCCATAGCAAGAAAATAACATGTGCTGCTTTTGCTTCAAGACTGATATTGGAAAATTACAGCATAAATGAGAATCTGCCAAACATGCCAGACTAGATGACAAAGTATGGAATGCTGCTGGGTAACATCATGCATACGCATTTCCAACCTTATGTTAAGAAATTAGATAGTTGTTGACATAACAAAAAGGCTGGGGTCCTGAAAGAGAACCCAGACTTATAAGAACAGCTAACACTTATTAAATGCCTACATGTTTTAATTCACTTGATCCCCTCAGCAACTCCATACAAGGGGTGGCAGATGAGGCAACCGAGGCAGAGGGGCACATAGCTGATGAGTGCTAGACCTGGTATATTTCATTTTTTTAATGCAGCTTTGTTTCGGAGCTCATCATCTTATCTAATATCCCATACAGCCCCTTTACAAGAATAAAGCAATAGCATCTGCTAACTGATTAATGCTCATGTTCTAATCTCTCAGCGAAGGTGTGTGTGCATATGCATGTGCGCATGTGTAGCTTGTATCAAGGCAGGAAGTTACAAATGGAAGAAGGCCCATTCTCTACATATCTCTTTATGAAGCCATGCCTGTAAGTAGGAATCCCTGCCCTAGAAGCGAGGATCCATTTCTTTCCCTAACTCACTCTTTTCAAGGTCAGGTTCTGGTCAGCATAGAGACAGGAACAGGAACCTGGAGGTACTTTGTGGACGTTCTTTTCAGTGGAATCATTTGAATGCTTAATTGTTGGTTAGATGTAAAGCAACCCAGAGTACTTGACTGTAATCATTCCCTACAGCCCAGCTAGTGAGCCCGTGGCAAGATAATCATTGAGAAGAGCTTCCTCCACAAATAGGAAAGATGAGAAGATTTTTTCCAGATGTGGCAAAGGCTTTGAATTTGACCTTCCTGCATGGAATTATTTCACTCTGTTGATCCAGAATGAGATATTTTGTAACTACTTAAAAACTATTCTTTGGCCATTCTAAGTAACTCAATATGGGAAACTTTAACTGTTGTTCATGTTCTAAATTAAGATAAGGTTGCCACCAGGATCTAGTCCTGTGAGTAAAGGGAGATACATTAACATTTTCCCCCAAGTATTGCATGCTAATATTTAGAAATGTATCCACTTCTGTGACAGGGTAAAGTGATAACCTTCAGATGACATATTTTTGAGCTCTATTGTGGATCATTTCAAACCCAATTCCTTATTCCTGGGATTTACCTTATAAACTGCCTTTTATGCTTTCAGCTCCATTTGGTTCACTGGAATCCGAAGTATAACACTTTTGGGGAAGCCTTGAAGCAACCTGATGGAGTTGCTGTGGTTGGCATTTTTCTGAAGGTAAGGTGAAAAGTAACCATTTATATACTTTTTTTCTTTGAAAATTTAGTTCCTTATCAATGCTTAAAAGGCCATGAGTTTTTTTTCTCTGTTCTGGCTTAAAGGACAAGTGTGTGTGTGTGCGTGTGTGTGCATGTGTGTGTGCGTGCGCGTGCGTGTGTGTGTGTGTGTGTGTGTGTGTGTGTGTGTGTGTTTGTGTGTATGTTAGGAACAGGCTTCCTGGGAGTGTGGTAATGGGGACAGTGGAGGAGTGTGCTCATTATCTTTTCCCACTGCTCCATTTTGACTGCACTGGAAACCAGCAAAGCTCATGCTGAGAACTTCGGTGAGGCCAAGCGCCTGGCTGAACATCCCCTCAGATTAAGGTGGCCACCATCCACATGATTCCAGGCTAAGATAGCACCAGGAATGTGTGTGTTGTTCAGCCAACCTTGGTTTAAAGAGGACTTAGTGTCATTAACACATGAATTTACTGGTAACATAATCCAGATTTTAAGCCACAAGTGACAATCTGGCTTCTTTCTTTTTGAGTGACCTAATTTGTTTTATGTTCTGAATACATTGGGTCAATTTTAGCACTTGCATAGGAGATGGATGAGGCCTAAGACAAGAAGAGAATGAATTTGGTTTTGGATAAGTGAGTCTATTTTAGCTTTAACTCTATGAAAAAAAAAGTGGAAAGATGTTAAAGAGAAGGTCAAGGACACAGAATTAGATCAACATGTAATTTTGTGGTTTTGTACTTCAAAGGATTGGAGTCCCAGTTTAGACCAGAAAACATGTACTCTAAAATCTTGGAGGAGAAATAAACTTATGTTTTGCCTGGAGCAAGATATTCTGGCAGATTTATAAACACTAGTTGCATGTAGATAGATCAAAATCAGTTTGTAAGACCATCTTAAATTATGGAGAAGGGAAAAAAATGATGTTGGATTTCTGTTTTCTTTATAGATAGGGCGTGAGAAAGGCGAGTTCCAGCTTCTTCTTGATGCACTGGATAAAGTTAAAACAAAGGTAAAAGAAAAACATCTTTCCTTTTCAAATAGAAAGCAGACTTCAACTTTCTTTTGCATTTTCAAGTAGTCATTAAGTTTGGTGACTGTATTAATCAAACATATCAAACTAAATGTCATTATGTTTGTATATGTAAAGAACTTCCAGGATAATTTCACACATATCATTTTATTTGATTGTCTCAGCCTATCAGATAATGGCTTTGTTAAAATAGTAGGTGAAGGAGAAAGGAAGTGGTTGGCTTTTTCCTCTTTCCAACCATACTGGGGCACAGTATCACAGACAAGGCTGGTCTTTTGTTTTGTTTTCTTTTTTTGAGAGTTTTCCTTATATAGCCTAGGTTTGCCTCCAACTCTTGGTCCTCCTGCCTCAGTTTCCTCAGTGTGGGAACTGCAGGTGTGTAACACCATATCTACCTTAAAGCTGGTCTTGTTAATCCTTGTCAGGAGGACCCATACAACTCTACAGTAGAGCAAGTCTTCTAGCTAATAGATCTTTGTTGTCTTTGGAACTATTCTAATTAGCCACTATTAAATTTAGCCACTACAAGAAATAGTCTAAGTTTAACATTTAATAAAAATATAAGCTTCTTTTTCTAATGATCATCAAGAATCAAAACTTCAACTTAGATGAAATAATATTGGAACCTTTCAGATCCAACATGAGTTTGCCCTTGTATGAAGTGACAGAATTATAGTGCTACTGAGGGTAAAAACAATAAAGCATGCGATATTACAATGATTGTACTGGATTAAATCACAGCATTAAAAACCAGGCTCCTGTCCCTTGGCCTTTTGTTTCTGAAAGGCCTGAAACTTATTATAACATTCTGTTTTATATTTACAACTTTCTAAGAACGGCTCAAGTCTGTAATCCTAGCTACTTGGGAGGTAAAGATCTTGGAATAATGATTCAATGCCAGCCTGGGCGAAAAAACAAAAGTTTATATGATTCCATCTCAACCAACGGCTGGCTGCGTGGTCGATGTCTATTATCCCAATGAAGAAGGGAGTAGAATTCCAAGCCTGTCTGGGTATAAAGCCAGACTGTATCTCAGAAAATAACCAACACAATCAAAGGCTGGAGGAGTGGCTCAGGTGGTAGATTGCCTGGAGCAAGTGTGAGAACCTGAGTTCAAATTCCAGGACCACCAAAAATAGATAAATAAACAAATAAAGGGTTTCTTTTTTATTTTTTACTTAATGGTGAGACTTTGGAAGAGGACAAGGAGGACCATGTTTATGTGCCCACGCATGCTCTCTGTGCCCGTGTTCTCTAGGGCAAGGAGGCACCCTTCACCCACTTTGACCCATCCTGCCTGTTCCCGGCCTGCCGGGACTACTGGACCTACCATGGCTCGTTCACCACTCCACCCTGCGAGGAATGCATTGTGTGGCTGCTGCTGAAGGAGCCCATGACTGTGAGCTCTGACCAGGTAAGCAGCAGCCAGATCCCCAAGAGCACCTGGACTTGCATTGCTGACTTGGTGTGGAATTTACAGATGCTGAATTGAAAATAGGTAGCTGATAAACAAGCGCTTACCAACATGCTCAGCTAGAGATGTCAGCTAGCCCTGGTTAATTGCACTCAACCTGTTCAGCTTTCTCAAACTCGGCTTCCCGAGGGTACCCAGATAAATTAAAAGTGATTGTAATCATGAACAATGACTGACTGTATTTGAGTTTAGACTCATGTGAGTCTTTGTTCACATGAAATGGTTAGGAGATAGGAGAGCAAACTCAAGCCTGGGAAGGTACATGGAATTAGAAAAGATTTAGTATGTTAGTGAAGAGTATTGTATTTCTCCAGTTTAGCACATAAATACACTGAGACTCAGAAAGACCAAGTAGTTTACCGTGAATGCAACCAAGTATAGGATCCTCATTCCAGTTCTGTTTTGTCTTCTAATAGTTCTCTGCCCTTCTTCTCAGGCCTCTCTATTTCTTTTTACCCAAAGAATGTTCTAGCAATGGTGACTAAGAAGCTTTCAAGGAAAAACTATTTGTGAGAAACAAAGAGGATGTGGACATGGAGAACACAGTGAAACATCCTAGAATGTGCAGCAGGTTTATTCTAATAGTAAAAAGAGTTCACCATTCTATTTCTTGCCTAAGACAAAAGATTTCTTCCAGTGTGGACCAAAATATATACATTGATATTCTTTTAATCAAAAGATCAGATCTATAATCCTAGCTACTCAGGAGACAGGTCTGAGGATTGTGGTCCAAAGCTAGAACGGGCATGAAAGTCCATAACACTCTTATCTCTAATAAACCACCAGAAAAACAGAAGTGGCAATGTGGCTCAAGTGGTAGAGCACTTGCCTTGAGCTGAAGAGCTGAGGGACAGCACCCAGGCCCAGAGTTCAAGCCCCAAGACCGACAAAAAAAAATGTAGACTCTACTTTCTTTCTGCTCTTTAAAAATAATTGACTCCATGAAGTTACACAATGAAAGACTATTAAACTTACTCATAAATGCACCAATATGCTAAATTGCCATCACCTTCTTAAGAAAGTGTCTACTCCATACTGGACTCCATACTCACCCCTCTGTGCATCACCTTGACAATAAAATAAATAAATAAAGTGTATTACCCATACCAAAAATAAATGAATAAAATTTAGAAGAAACTCAGGAGAGTAAGGATTTGATCAGAGCCCTTGATGATCTTGGAGTAAATAAAAGAAGGGAGGTTTTACAACTGAAAAAAAAATTTATGAACTAGAGCCAGCTGCTCTGGACTGGACACTGGCGCAGGGTTCATAGCTTGCTTGTGCTTCTTAGAAAGCCACTGGCTTCTCACTTGGTTGCATTGTGTGCCTGCTGGGTAAAAAGCTTTGCTAATGATCTGCCCCTTTCCCTTGTAGATGGCCAAGCTGCGCAGTATCTTTTCCAGTGCTGAAAATGAGCCCCCGGTACCCCTGGTGGGGAACTGGCGCCCACCACAGCCCATCAAGGGCAGAGTGGTGAGAGCCTCTTTCAAATGAGGCCATGGAATCGTGCCCTCTTCATGAAAGGAAACCTGGTCTCTGGAGAGCTTGGGTCACCGCCTCCTGGTGCTCCACCGAGTATATTTCACTGCTCCACAGCACGAGAGGCATGTGGGTGATGTCCTACCAAGACATCACAGTTACATTGACAAGATCTAATCTGAAAGAACAAGTTTCACACATTGCCTTTGTAATAATCATCTTTTCTATAAAACAGTATTTCTAGTAAGGTTTTGATAGAGAAGAAACAGATGGAAGGACAAAGGAGAGAATAACTAGTGAGTGCCATTTCTTTTCCTGGATCTTAAATTTCCCAGAACCTTGTGTTTCCTGTCCTATTGTGATTGGTCCAGTTTTCAGAAGTAGTAAGCCTATATGTGAGAATAGAGGTATAAGAAGGTCATATAGCATCAGCTACAGATTAAAATGATTGTGGACACCAGGAATTGAAATGATCACCTATTTATCTCTTCCATAACATCATCAAGAAGTTCATCATTTACTCACACTTCAGCTACCACCACTCTGTCTTGGATTATCAGTGAAAGGAAAACACAGTATGACCAATTGTTTTAAAAATAGTTGATCCAGTGTTTGAGTTTCTTCTTCATAGAGATGGTTTTCTTTACCTGAAGCAGGGCCATTTTTTTTTAAAATGTCACTACTTTAATCCTTGCATGCTTATTAAAATAAAAGCTGTCTGTGATAACTTTGGAATTCAAAGTTGGAGTGAATATTATCTAGAATAGAAGGAATGGACAATACTTGGAGCAGAGCAGTTGTACTGATCACCAATATCAATAAAGACACAGATGCAAAACAAAACAAAACAAAAAACCCTCAGAGGTTGTATGTTTAAAATGGAAAAAAATGTTATACATAACAAAAATGGAGTGAAACTGAGAATGATAAAATCTGTGTGTGTGTGTGTGTGTGTGTGTGATAAAGGACTCAAGTTTGAGTTGGGACACTACATTCCCTAGTGAGGGAACGAGGTAGTGACAAAACTGTAGACTAAAGGAATGCACAGTAAGGATTTGAGAACATGAAATAGTTCCCAGATGGGGCTGGGAAGGTGGCTCAATGGTAGAGCGCTTGTCTTGCATGCCTGAGGCTCTGGGTTCGATTCCTCAGCACCACATAAGCAAAAAGAAAAAAGCCAGAAGTGGCGCTGTGGCTCAAGTGGTAGAGCACAAGCCTTGAACTGAAGAGCTGAGGGACAGCGCCCAGGCCCAGAGTTCAGGCCCCATGACCAGTCCTTCCCCTCCCTCCCCCCCAAAAAAAAGAAATAGTTCCCAGACACTGCAAAGTTGGTTAGGTTGGTTAGGATTACTTATATTTATGAGCTTGGATGCTTGGAATTCAGTGTGACTGTAGCTTTTATGTCATTTTTTTTATAAAGAGAAAAGTCCATATGGTTAAACCTTTTGAACATTTATAATCGCCACACTTAAAGACTAATTTTGCAATTAGTGGCTTTTTATCATCTTTATTTCTTCACTGGCTAATACATTACCTACTTCAGTAAAACGGCGGCAAAAAGTTCGTTACCATAAGGAAAGGAACACAGCATTGGGTCAGGAGAGTCCTGAGATTCTAAAACCAAGTCACATGGCAGAGTCCTGTGAGGCTGGTTATTTAATAGATTACCACTTGGGTGAAGCAAAACCAGGTTGGTCAGTGTGAAGTGGCTGTGTTAATTAAATCCCTTGAAATTTAGAAGGTATGGAGCTTTGATCATTAGTGTTAATACACATGCTGATTCTCTCAAGGTACTTACTTGGTCATGTTAGTGCACTATAGTATATATATGCATATATAGACATATATGTATATATCTATATCTATATATATGTCCAGGATTCACTCTGTGTGGGGCCGGAATATGGCCTGATGCCATTTAGGAGTGGCTATTATTCTAGTATACAAGTTGGAAAAACACTGGATCCAAGGAGCTGTCCCTAGGCCATCAGTTTAACAAAGGCACTGGTATGAGTCTCACACATTGACATTTTCCATGTCCCCTAATGCTATGTTTCCCACATGATAAACACTCAGTGAATATTGAATGAATGTATGATATCATGAATATAGAGGTGGCTAGGAAAATTACTCATCTTCTTGAGCCATGCATTACTCAGCATAGTTATTTTGAAAGCTGGTTTATATGCATCTTGATTAGTTTAGAACTTCTTAGAAAATGATCTCCTTAAGTTGTAGGTGGTGAACCTTCCAGCAGAACATATTCTGAGTAATTGCTGGTGCTTATAATTGTCAACCTACTGAAACCTTCCTCCCAACCTTCCCCTGACTTCAGAACTGCAGCATCACAAATGTGCCCTGGAATGCTGAAGTCATACTTGCATCCTGGTCTTCCCTGGGAGAAACAGTCATACCTGAGACAATCATAGGCTACAGAGGCCTGACCAAGAGCTGCTGAGGTAGAAAGGTTCTGGTATCTTTCCACTTTTGTTTCTCAGAATGTTGTCTTTGCCCATATCTTCACACTTTAAAATAAGACAGAAAGTAGTTGGAAATAAGTGTTTCCTAGTAGTCAGATGATCATATACTTACAAAGCTTACACATGGGACAGCAGCATCCTGAACTTACAGAATATAGAGTACTAATAGGAGTGTAAGTATATAACTGTTACCCTTTTAAATTGGAGATGGTTTATATTTATGAAAATGCAAATAATAATTGAGGTCTCGATCTGAAAACATTTAAAATGTATAATTATTAGTGAATATTTTTGTGACATATTCAAAGTATTCTACAGACTATGTAAAACAGACAACATCCATGTCTAACTGCAGTCACTCACACACACACACACACACAAACACACACACACACACACACACACACACACACTGTCCAACTACAAACAGGCATATTTGTTGATGTTAATGCATCATTTACCTAAATAAGAACTGACACAAATAAAATTAGTATAAAAATAATGTGGTCCAAAAATGCATAAATACCATATTGGTGGAAAGTTAATTAGTTAAAAATTAATTACTTTCCTAGTTTCTCTCCTTGTTTCATACTAAATGCCAAGCTCTTGACATGAGCATATTATTTGCCAGAGGAAGAAAGAAAGAAGAAAAAAAAATGAGAAAAAGTGAAAAAACTGTGAATATCAGCTTTAAAAATTTTCAAGTTTTATTTTCCTAACATCACATTATCTGACTTTTTCCGCTTGACTAATACCTATACTAGATATTGCAAATAAGGGAAACCATGGGACCTATGTTTCTTTGGGCCTGGCTTACTTCACTTAATATAATTTTTTCCAAGCCTTTCCATTTCCTAACAAATGGGGAAATGTCATTCTTTCTGATGGAGGCATAGAATTCCATTGTGTATATATACCACATCTTCTTGATCCATTCATCTACTGAGGGGCATCTGGGTTGGTTCCATGTCTTAGCTATGGTAAATAATGCTGCAATAAACATAGTTGTGCTGGTAATGTTTTTGTTTCTTTCATGCATGTGTTTCTAACGCATTTATAAGATTATTTCTTTGTTGCTTTGTATGTCCCTCCCCCACAGTGTAACCCCCGCTTTCACTATATTTGATGTCAGTATAACATGTGGAGGAGATGGGGACAAACAAGTCGTTTAAGGATTCAGGTGGACCTGTTGCAACAATGAGAAGTACAAAATGTCATGTCAAAACCAGCTTTACAATGTCGGTGGGGGGGGGGGGGGTGGGGGGGTATGATTGGGTGGGAGGGAGGGGGGAGGCTGGGAAGGGAGGTGAAGGGTAAACAAAGGAGGAGACTGCAATGCTTGGTAAGAAATGTATGCATTATCCTGCCCATGTAATTGTAACCCCTCTGTACAGTATGTTCTCAAATAAAATAAAATAAAATTAAAAAAAAAAATTTTTCAAGTTTTAAAATGCTGATACAAGGCCACAGGATGACCCACTGCAACAATGATAATCACAAGACACTATGTTGGAAATGGATCTTACAATTTTGGAGGTGAGGAGTGTGGAAGGTAGTGGAGAAAAGGGATAGTGGGAGAAAAACAAAGGAGGGAGTAACAATGCTGGACAAGAAATGTACTCATTACCTTACTGATGTAACTGTAACCTCTCTGTACAGCATCTATATAAGAAAATAATATTTTAAAAAATTCAAGTTTGCCGGTTCCAGTGGCTCTCGCCTGTAATCTTAGCTACTCGGGAGTCTGAGATCTGATGAGATCTGAGGATTGTGCTTCAAAGCCAGCCCAGGGAGGAAACTCCGTGAGACTCCAATTAACCACCAAAAACCAGAAGTGGCGCTGTGGTTCAAGTGGTAGAGCGCTAGCCTGGAGCTGAAGAGCTGAGGGATAGTGCCCAGGCCCAGAGTTCAAGCCCCAAGACCAATACACACACAAAAAAAATCGTTTAATGTATACAAGCTTAGTGGTTAAAAAAAAGAAAAAATTCAGGTACTTAAAGACTTAAAATGCCAATGAGAAGGCATAATCACGTTCTCATGTTATTTTCCTATAGGACACTAGATGGCAGCAAAATAATTACAAAAATGATGGAACCGAAAAGCCTTGTGTTTTTATGTTATTTTTCAGAGTAGTTACAAACAACAGAAATAGAACTAACACATTATTTCCTTTTTAAAATGCCTTTCTTAGTCATTAATATTTACAAAAGAAAATATAGTGAGCACTGTCTTTTGAAAATCATAGGTGCTAAATACAAGGCCTGAGGGATAAGAGGGTAGTAGTTATTGAACTAAAACTTAAATTAATGAGAAATGACATTTGAACGTTCCATTTGGTATTGAGACAGTCACTCAACCCTGACTGGATATGAATGTTGGTCACTTTATTCTCTATATGCCCATTTCTTCTGCAAATAGGAATAGCTACTTGCTCAAAGGGTTGTTGTAAGAACCAAATAAGGTCTACATGTACACTTAGAATAGTCATTCTGACACTATTCTCAATAAGAGTTAACTCTTTTTTGGTGGGTGGGGGGAAGGAGAGAAGGACAAGACCTTGCTATGTGCCTAATCTTGCCAAGAATATATGGTCCTTCTGTCTCAGCCACCTGGGTACTGAGATTACAGGTGCATGCCATCACAATAGAGTGAACATCAATGAAGTTTTCTACCTCATTGAAGAAGAGGTAGAATAATACTGAGTAGTTGTACAACTACTGTACAACAACCTCTGTACAACTACTCAATATTATTTTTAAAGAAAATTTTAATGGTTTATTTCAGTAATAAAGAGTTTTTAAAATTTTTTTTGCAATATCATGAATCTACATATTTTCTGGTCAGATTATTTTAAAGGACATACTGGGAAAGACTCAAATCTTCTTATTATTGGGGAGAAATGATATGTAAAAATAACAATAACAATAAGTAATAAACAATAATGATAACAACAATAAATTGGATATAGCAGGAAAAAATCAGATGTGGCCATACCAGCACATTCAGAGGAGGACCAGAGAAATTCTTCAGAGGAAGTTTCTGTCTCAGGAGCTCCAAACCTTATCTGAACAAGTGCACAATTAGCAGAAAAACACTCAGAAAAAAAAAGGGCTGAAGTAGGAGAATATAGCAATCACTTTAAAATTGACGTTCAAATGTTGATGAAACGGAGTCCCACTGAGTGCTGTGAGAAGTGGAAAAAAAATCTATCATAATAGTAAATACGGAAAGTCTCTTGCCATGAAATTAATTTTGAGGTCA